GAAAAAGAACTTTTGGATGTAAAGACTCGCTGACTCTTCACTTGACTACTCGCTTGGTGACTAACCTACCCAATCATAGGCAGCTCCTTCGTCCCTTCCTCTCTTTCAAGCCATCTTACATCTGCGATATTGATTGGACCCTTCTTTGAGTGGGAGAGTGTGTTGCAATTATCCTCGAAAGTCTCCCTGCCCTCATAAGGCCAAGCGAAGACATCAAGGCTCCGCACCTGAGAAATTTTTCACGTTCCTCATTCGAGCTTTCTTGACCAATTATCCATTTTCATGGGTTGGCGGGAACAAGCTCTTTTTAATTCCACTAGTAGGCGGGTGGGTCCTATGAACTTTGACTCAAAAAAAGGCGTAACTCGCTCTCGTCTCATATTTCATCCAATTTTAGGTTTTTTTATGTAAAGCAACGATAATGTTTAAAGAGATTCCAGTCTAGAAGTTGCTCTACCTGGATAAAGAGAACGACCTGGCTGACATTGATAGAGGTCATCCTTTTTGGTATCATGGCCCACCCTAAGTGCTTCAGGCAGAAAAAGTAGTTAAGTTTCGAGAAGAGGAATAAATATCCCCCATATAGCTTCTAATTCCCGAGTATAGGGTATGGAGTCAGGGAGAAAGTTTGGTCTCAGTTGTGTTTTTGTTTATAAGGAACTCAGAGTGAGTCATCACACCCTTGAAAACTGTTTTAACTCAGTGTGAAAAAACAAGACACTTGTTTCTCCTTCCACCCCACTTTTGGCATTAAATTAAGAAGGAGCCATCGGGGACTTTCAGCCTTAAAGAAAAATGGCACAAGTTGGCTCGCCCTTATCCCTTAAGGGTAGAAGGGGCCCTTACTCGGCCTATTAAGCCCCTAACTCAAATAAGTAAAAAGAAAACGGACTAAAGCATGGAATGTGTAGGAGCGAACCCTTAGTAAGACGATGATTTCGACCTTGATCTTTCTATTAATACTAATTCAATAAAAATAAAATAAAGAGGCAACCACTATCAGGTTAGTAGTGAAACGAGCTTTCACTTTCTCTAAGAAATTTGAAGATGAGAGTAGGTTCCTATTCGAGGAGAGTAATGGAAAGTCAGCCTTTGAGGGTTTATGTCTGAATCAGGGATGTGGTAAGGAAGCATAGTAACTCAATTTCAATGGTTCGCATCAAAATGAAGGGGAAGATTGAATGGACGAGAAATGAAAGAAAGAAGAAGGGCATCTCAATCTCAACCAGCAAGACACACATCAACAGTTGAAGGCAAAGAAAAACAAAGACAAGAAATGTATTTGGGCCAGCCGTCTTAATGATGAAAAATGGTCGCTAGGCCGCTGTCCCAAGACCGCTTTCCCAATAGGCAATGGAACAAAATGTGAAGGAATGAATGTAAGCATGTCAAGTACACCCCAGGCTCCTTCAGAGAAGGTTAACATAAAGTATAAAAAGAAGATCCTTTGAGAGATCTCATGAAAGCAGGAAATGACCAAATACTAGATTGAAATAGAGGGAGGGATCAAGCAAGCATCACCGAATATAGGGATTTGAAAAAGAGATGAAGAATCCCGCCCTGACTGAAGAGAATGGCCTCAAAGGAGGAGAAAGGATATAGAAACTCTGAAAGTAGTACTTCACTTCCACATCTAGATTTAGGAAATTGGAAGCTACATCCATCTCATTGAGTATGGATCCGAGTTCCCCAGAGCCTAGCAATCAAGGATAAATAAATGGTATTAGGTGGAAGGACAAACCCACTATACAGTGTAGTTAATAGCTAAAGGCACAAAAGAAAGAGAAAAAGAGTCGTTTGACCTCAAATTGGTAAGGAATTCAAGGAATCATAGGCGCGGAAGGCCAATAGACATCGGCTTTAGACCTTTACCTTAGACATACCGTACTTCCTCAAGATGAACCTGCTGTAGAGATAATACAATCCCTGGACTTTCGTTTCTAGCACTGACATCTAATTGAGTAACGAGTTGAGCCCCTACTATGACTAAGAGAAGCTCCTCGCAAAAAGAAGCCCCTACGATTACTCATCAAAGTTCCTAGCATTTTTTGTCGTGAGCCAATGACCATGAGAAGCTCATCATCCAAGAGACGAAAGCACTCTACTTCCTGCTTAGAGTATGAAATGGTCTGGAATCATAGGATCGGAACGAGCTTTCTCTCCAATCCACTTAGCGAAAGACATCTTATCCCAAGGAAAATGAAAGCAAGTCAGACTAGGAAGAGTAAATTATCCTATTAATCTCTCTTTTACGTGAGGAATTTCTTGAAATGAAATATAAGATAATTAGCTTAGAAGCGGAGAATAGGTTTATGTTTGTTTCTCTTCTCCCCTAAGATTACAAAATACGGTTGATATGCCTAATCCCCTATTTTAGTTAGATTTAGGAACTCAAAAGTAAGTAGGGAGTAGTTATCTTACTTTGAAAGTACAATAGTCTATTTTACATTTAAGGAGTCGAGTAAGAGAATAGGCTTTGTTATAAATATTTTACTCAAGTGAGTATAGCATATTCTCCCTCTCCATTGAATGAAATGACGTAGATAGACAAAGAAACTTCCAATGAACCACTTCCCTATTCAATTTTCCCATCCCCAACATGCTAAGGGGAGGCTCAAAAGAGACTTTTTATGAAATTCGAGAGTGACCATGACAAACAATCAATTCCCATGGATCCGAACCAACGAAGCAACCAGTAACTACAAAAAAACTAGGTTATCCCCACCCTACTTCACTGATGCTCGCCTCATTCGATTCCGTAAAGAACCAACATGTCTAACTAACTGGAGACTCTTTTCATGACCATTGACCGGTGGAATTCATCCTTGTTGGACCTCCTCTAGCGGGGCATCATCTTGTGAGTTTACACTCTATTGCGTGTCTCACATCGAGGTGGATAGTTGGTCGTATGCGGCAGTAAGCTGAGGTTGATTGTATACATGAGTAGGTTATTGAACATGGGCCAACAAGGTCTCCTAACCTAAGTAGATGGTGGCATACCAGGGAACATACTTTATGTTAGTATAGACCAATCGAGAAAGACCACAACCCTAGGACATATCTGTTCATACTGTGATGCCATTTCGGTGAGGATGAAACTATCAATGCCACATCTCCTATTCCAAGGATGTATGTAGAGATCCCCTCTTGCCAGGCTTACGAGGTACTTCTTTCGCCAATGGTTGGATCAAATAGTTTAGTTAGAGGTGGGATTCCTTCACGATCAAGATAAATTGTGTTGACTGTCGAACCATCCTACCTGGTGTTCTCTGCCCTAGTCAGTTAGTCAAAACTTCCATTTTTATTTCCGATATGCCTCATCTAGTAAGTATGTTACATTGGGAAAGCTAAGCAGTCTCTGATTTAGTCATCTAGGACATCGATAAATGCATAGGTCCATTGCATAGAATCCTACAAATCTTAAAAAGAGTATTTGTAGCTTGCTGTATTGAATTTAGTATTTATATTCAGTTGGTCTTATCTTGATAAATAATACAAGTCATGCATGAGAAAGGCTTATCTAAATAGTGAACTCCTAATTTAGACAGTGCAAATCTAGCAAGAAAATCAACGCATCTATTGTCTTTAAGTAGATATGTTTTAGCTCAACTTCCCAGTCTCTTTTCAGTAGTCTACAAATATCGTGAATGAATATGGAATTGCTATTAAGTCTTCGCACCTCTCCTTACCAGTCGAGTTACTTCGTAACCTCTTGACTGAGAATCTTGATTACACATTGACTCTCACTCTTCAACTTGACCTTACGGAAACCTCTATCCCAAGACAAAGACAACGTTTCAAATATTTCCCATAATTCTGCTTTAGTTATGCTACATTGCCCAATGTTCCTGCATTTACCAGGAATCTAATTCCCATTCCCGTTGGAGTCTTAGAACTCCAGTTCCTGCTAGACCACTAAAAGTCTTATCTTATAGTATAGGTCCCATCACAATTACCTTTGACTCATCCCTCAAGCCCATATAACTTTACGAAAGATATCCCATCCCAGGGAAAAAGAAAGCAAGTCAGATTGAGTTCAATTAGTCTCGATTTTTTCCTTCATCAGGAAAGAAGGGAAGTCGCTTCACTGATTGAGTTGATGAGCGAAGCCACTTGACCGATAAGGTGAAGGACTGAGAAATCTTACTATAACAAATACACGAGCCCATCTATTAGAAAAGCTATTTCTTTAGTAGCCAGAATAGTCTGTAGCGAGAAGTGTTCCTCATAGGCCATCCAGGAGCTACAAGCAACTAGAGTGTAGCTGATAAGAGCGAGGAAACTCATTAGATTATTGCTCCCCTTCGAGCTATCATGGATTAGGGGGAGAAGCAAGCCACCCTTGTCGAAAGAAAGACATATTTCCACATGCTTTAGACGTAGAAAACTGAAGGTCTAGCTTACGAAGGTTGCCACCGCAATTTATCTCAAGAAGGAGCCACTTAATGAGTGAAAGCCTAACCCGAAAAAAGAGTTACAGTGCTTTTTATTCTTCCTATAATATGTTATACCAATCACCTTCTCGAAGTGCCTTATAAACCTATTCACTATAATAACCTGATCACCGATTAGTGGTCGGGCTCATCCTTGCATCATCTGTACTTAACAATTCCCTTTAGTGTAGGTTCTCAGAGATATCTGGATTATTTTTTAATAAAAGAAGATTCTGGGATGAAAGAGAAGAAAAAAGGGAAGAAAGATCTACACTACAAAATGGAGCGAGCGGAGAGAGCATAAAGAGCTATAAGTATGATCTTAGAGCCTTGCGTCACTCTGGTATGCAAATTACTTCATTGTACGACTCTAGAACGGTAGTCGCTTAGTACAACAACACTATGGGATGCAAAGAAGCTTCGCCAGCCTTCTGTAGTTGCTTGTAGTTTTATTTTTTTGGTCAAGATTGGGTGGTTCATCAGTGTACTTTCTTGCTTGATGTAGTTGCTTATCCTTCAATCCCATCTGTCTATTACTGAAAGTGGAATCCTCTCCAGTGAAATCAATCTCGGAAGATACTATTTAGATTTAATGAGACAGATAAAGAAAGAAAATGAATAAGGATTTCCCCTTTAAATGGTTGTTAGATTGGTTAGGGGCTCAAAATTACATATATAGGTGTAGAGTACATACCTTAGTCCCATCCTCCCATATTTTTGTTGCGGGGAAAACCCTCGTGCCCAATATAAATATAGATTTAGATCGACTGCCATCGCAGGTAGTCGACGGAGCTTAAGTGATTAGCATTTCAAATGCACAAAGATCTAATTCTACTCAAAACAATTAAATCTTTTTGTGAAATAGCTGTGGGGGAACTAGACCTCCAACTAAAGTACGACATAGGTTCTCCGAAAAAAGTAAGCAACACCCTATATGAGTCCACAAGGGACCTCCTGCATAGTGCTCTCCGAAAGGACATAGCCAAAATTTTGGAAAAACAAAACTTGGCGCTCCCAGAGAAAATGACCCATTCTGAGCTAGTTGATAAATTAATTGATACGCAAGTGGTAGATATATTAGTTGTGGAACCTCCTGATCTAATACGCATATACAATCTTTTGGAAGATCTTATTTTGTATGATGTGTCGAGTTCTTGCTTTCATTATTGTTAACCCTATTATCGGTCAGATAGTAATCGATGAGCCTTAGTAGCTGGCACCCTTTATCATATCATTTTTTCCAGTATACTGCTCCGCGAGCAAGTAGTGAGAGAACCAAGTGGACTGTGATGATGTAAGAATTTGCACCTATTTCTATGTATTTAGTGATTAGTCTGCTAGTTTCTTTGATCATACTAGGTCTTCCTTTTCCATTTGCTTTTAATAGTTCGACCAATCTAGAAAAATTATCGGCCTACGAATGTGGTTTCTATCCTTTTGGTGATGCCAGAAGTAGTTTCGATATACGATTTTATCTTGTTTCAATTTTATTTATTATCCCTGATCCAGAAGTAACATTTTCCTTTCCTTGGGCAATATCTCCCAACAAGATTGATATCTTTGTATTTTGGTCCATCCTTACCTTTTTATTGATTTTGATGATTGGATCTTTTTATGAATGGAAAAGGGGTGCTTCGGATCGAGAGTAATCACTAGTGATAGGGCGAGGGAAGGATAAATTTTCAAGAAGATCTCGGGCTTGATCTGGTTTAATATCAAGGTAATTATGTTTCTGTTCCTATATATATGGGCCTGTGCAGCATTTCCACGATATCATTTTGATCAATTAATGGGACTTGGCCGGAAAGTGTTCTTGCCTTTATCATTAGCTCGGTTAGTCCCCGTTTCTGGTGTTTTGGTCACCTTTTAATGGTTGTGCGAGGAATTTCTCTCTTGAGTAATGGGAAGCGGGCTAGTCCCCGAAAATGCACGTTCTCTTGTCGTTGGGGCTAGAAAAAAAATGAATAAGCGGGAAGATTCCCATTAGAAAGGAAAAATAAGCCAAGCCAACGAGTGAAGCTGTAAGCTAGTGACTCCCTCTTTTCTCCCCTCTATCGTAGGTAAAGATCTAGTAATCCTAAGTGCTATTTTTATCACTCTACAACCAGAAGTTATAGTACAGGTTTTAAAGGATAGACAGAATTTGTAGCCATCATAGGCTTCCTAGTCCATGCGAGTGCGAGGAACCTCTTAATAGTACAGTAAAAGAAATCTTTCCAAAACCTCCGAAATTTAACCCGCTAGAATTTAAGAATCAGGATAGGTTAAAGGATCTTTCGATCATTGTAGCTTCTATCATTCTTAGTAAAGTCCTTTTTGATTCAGTTTCCATATATGGTGTTCTAACTCCTCTTATATAGACCTCAAATGGTACAAGATAGACTTGATTTATAGCTAGCTAAAATGAGAAAGATTGAAGTAGCTCAGTGGTAGAGCGGTCAGTGCTAAGGTCGTAGGATAAATTCCTACTTGAGGCCTATGTACTAGGACTCTCATATACAACCATTTCTATGGATTAAAATCTTACATATACTTAGCAGGATAAGAAAGCAAATGCACTGCCAAAGAGAAAGATGAAAAACGGGCTGGTAATCCGCTATTCTAAAAGAACTCTCTCAGTTTCTTTCCTTAGTTCATGATAAATGGCTCTGCAACTCAAACTTCAACTAGATCCTTTTTTCTAGAAACTCCATTACTACTTGGCCTTCAAGTTCACGCTTGAAAGATAGCTCAGTAAGTGGAAGACTGCTTTCTCTTCTAGCTAAGAATATGAGTTCCTTCTTTTCCTGCTTATGAGAAACCAAGGGATAATTACAGCTCTTGTTGTTCCTGCTCTAAAGCGATTAGTCTTAGGATAGGCTCTTCCTTAAGCGGTTAAGCAGAAAGCGGTGATCGGCATCCAATCTTCCCAACCATCTTAAACTAAGAAGAAAGCCTTACTCTAATCCTCACCAGCCAAAGGCAAGTTCTACTTTAATGCCTGCTTTTTAGTGAAAAATGGGTCTATGCCCAAATCACATTATTTTATCTCCTTATTGTCGAGCATATTTGAACATAAACTTGTTCGTCTTCAAATGTAGTTCTCGCTATTAGAGCTAGAGTGGGCGAAGGGATTTCCTCGCATTAGGTTAGCCAGACACTTTTGTAGCTGTAGCTTGAGTAGGAAATGAAGGTAATACCAAGAAATAGTCGAGAAAAGTAGCTAGGGTTGTAGGGTCGGCACACTAACTTCATCTTGCAATACTAACTAAATTTGGTGATTAGAAGCATAGACGCAACCAATCCGCAACGTGTATCCCCCGAGAATCGGATAGTATGTCTTCTTTCCTTAGAGACATGAAGGTTGCATGTGAGTCAGCCACGCGATGCCAGCTTCGAATAAAGTAATAAAGTCTGGAACAGACAACACCCTGCCATAATGAGTTTCCCCATTTTCATTTTAGCCCGCGGGGAACACAGGAAATCAATCATTCCCTTTCTATTCTAATAAGAAAGAAAGTTTCCTAATACAATGGCAAAGTCGGAGTGACATCATAGCATTTGAGTTCCTTTGCTAGAGTCACACTCGAGAGCCTCACATTTTTCTTTCTATACGTGACATCTCTTCCTTGTACTTGTATACGTGACCACCCCAGAGTAAATAAACCTTATTTCAATGGTAACTTACTTAAAGAAAGCAAACTAATCTCGTTACTGAGTGAGGAAAAGAAGCTCTAGCAAGAGGTTCAGAGCATGAGTTTCAGTCCTTCAAGGACCAATAATCGAAAGGCAAATAAAAAGTCATAAAGGACTAACCTCGGGACCTTGAGACCAAGACCACTCCGGGTAATCTCTCTTCTCTGCCGAGCTAATCTAATCTTAAGAAAAGGATTCCCCATTCTTTCTATGATCTTTTGTGCAACCACAAATAGAATGAGTGATGTCAGACACATCTTCGTGTTGTCCCCTACTGCTACCGAGGAAAGAATATCTGGCAAGAGAATCAAATCTCGCATGCTACCTCATCTGCATAACCTATTATAAATATGATTTAAAATCCATTAGTGTTAGACATGTTTTCATGTCTTCTAAATCTATAACTAACAAGGAATTAATTGCATTCTTGAATGGTATTCCATTTCCACTCTCTTTGAGAGAGGTTACAAGAAAACCATCATAAAAAATGCCACCCTAGTGAACTTGAATTTCACCCGAGAATCGAGGGTATGCCCTTCCTGACAAAAGGTCACATGCGATGTTGCAGTCATTCCGTGCCAACTTTCTAGTAAAGTAAAGTATGAAACTAGGTATCAACAATTCGTACTGTGTGAAACAATTCCCATTTTCCCCTACTGTGAGCAATCTCTCTCAAAAACTCAATCCTTCCCTTTCTAATAAGAAAGAAAATTTCCTAGCGTGGTGAACAGTTGTAAAAATGGGGACACACCGAGTGACAACGTATCGTTTGAGTTCCTTGCCCGAGTCTCACCAGGGAGACTCGTCATCCTTTATTCCTTATATACGTGACCATGTCAAAGCAAATAAACCTTATTTCGACTGGTAACACCAGAAATAACCGATCTCACTACCGGGTGAGGGAAGAAGAGCTCTACCAAGAGGTTCACTCTTTTCGCATGACTTTATTGCCTCGACAATAATGAATAAAAAAGTCACAAAGGACTATAAGCCTTAGAACAAAGAGATCAATTCAAGTCCTTCGCTAAGAATCTCTCAGATTCGGTTCTTGAGTCTTCCCTGGTCGTAGCATAGGATTAAGAGAGACATCCTTGATGTCAAACCCCTGCTGGCTGGGGTGGGAAATCTATACTCTCCAAGAGACGTTTCTTCTCCTAGTCCCGGAGACCTAACCTAACGGTTGAGACAGAAGACAGATCGGGGAACCTGCTAGCACAGAGAATCAATGCGCCAAAGCTATCGGCGCTGATCGCGTCTATCTTATCTTCTACGGGGTAGGTAGATAGGAATGGTCCTCTTTTTCTACCATCGAGCCACTGGTCTTCACCTTCGGTGACTTCTCCAGGAGGATGGGAAAGTAAAAGTAGCCGCTCAACACTCACAAGAGAGATAGCCTACGCTAATCACGCACCTCCTTAAAGGCATCTTGGTATGGGGTTGGATCATCGGCCCTGGTGATGGCTCCCCAACCTAGTAAAGGGAACTGGAAGGGATGCTATTGGTGTTATCGGTACTGCTCTCGTTATCATCGGCATATATGCCTCTTTTTCTATTAGCGGGGGTCTTTCTCTACTACTATTGGTATCGGCTTCTGGAAATGCTTTTGCTTCTACTGGTGCTTAAGGATCACTTGCTGGATCAAACCCCAAAATGAATAGGTTTGATCAGCCTAGCTTCGGGTGGTAGATTAAATGAATACTCAACTGCGTCATGACGACAGCGATAAATGTCCAACCTTTCTTTTTCTTCTGTCTTTTTGCTCGAAATTGTACTCATTCGACATCTAATTCCATGGGCTAGGCATACCCAATCTTTAGCTCATTTTTCTCTTTCTTCGACTTTGAGAAGATCCCATGAATCGTCTTCTATTGACATCGCCTACTTATTCTTCTCATACACTCTTCTTACCCAAAATTATTCCCAAATCATCTAGTACTTTGTCTGCGCTCTCACTTTCTTGGTGAATGAGAGAAATTTTTAAAAGCTGATGCAACTAAGAATCTCGTTGAAAGCATGAAAAAGACTGATGACGTTTTTCTAGTTGAAAAGGCCCATTGGGATTGAATTCTGCTAGGGCACCCTCATCTAGTTCTTTCATTATGCTGAGAAGAAAGAAGATTGGAAGAAGAGATGGTCAATCTTTTCTTATGGATGATACTGCTAAAAAAAGGCTCTTTAAAGCCAGAACGAGTCCTCTCTTGCGGGAGGGATAGGCGGGAAAGGTGAAATAAGTCTTCCTTGGCTTTCCTCCCATCTATAGCTTTACTTTGAGATGAGCTTCCGACTTTGAGCTAAGCCGGGAGCAAATACAAGATCAGAAAAAGACCTTCTTACTTTCCAAATAATCGACTTTGGTGATTGTACTTCCCATCCCTTACAATATAAGGCTTGCGGAAAGAGTCGTTGAAGAAGCCGAGACCAGAGAGAGAAACATGTCCCGCTTGGAAGGGTAAGGGGAAAGTGAAAAACTATCTTTAGCGGTTCGTAGGTACCTTATTTGATCTAGTAAGGGGAGCTAGAGCTAAAATAGCGTTCCCAAGCACTACCCTCAGTTGCAACCCCAGGTCCATATAAAGCAGTCAATCTACGAATAGAGAGGCTGCAGATACATGTCTACCTGTTTATTTACTACCATAAGCAAGAGTAGTTGTAGGTATCGAGTGTTGTGAGGGCTTCCATTTGCGCGTTAAGGTCAATTTCTGTTATAGCACTAGGACTCAATGTCGTTAGTCTAAACTAAAACAGAGGGGCTTTGGAATCCATTCAGTATTCCGTACGCTAGAAGCCAATCCGAACTTTCATAGCCTTTGCTTGAACCGAAGAGAGCGATGCGAATAGTTCAGGAGATCGTAAATAAAACCCTTAGTTCAATGTCGGGTTTCATAACTACTCTCGGTCAATCATATCATTCTCCATATGGTATGGGGTATAAGCACGTTTATTGGAGATGTTCCGAAGGGTACTGCTTACTACAGATTCGAGCTCTATTTCCCTCTCTAAAACTTAGATCTTCCTCTAAAACTTCTCTCATTCCTTTTTCCTTTGTTCCGCCAACTACATTGAATGGATACTGTTGGGCCTGCCTATGCTGAAAGTATTCCGATTATCTCATAAAGCCGTTGAATTTCCCTTGGTTGTCTTACCCATTTGTTATATCTTATTCCCACCTTGTTCTATTTCTCTTTCTCGACGAAGGAATTGATAGAGGGTAGTGGCGAAGAAATAGAAGTGAAATCTTGACCAGTTCGTATAGAAGTCAAGGGAAGCATTTTCAAG